CTTTTTTAAAAAATGGGGAAAGAATCATTACATTTTCAACATTCAGATGGTCATCAAACTACTCGTCTGTTACGCTAAAAATTTCAACTTAATCCGAGCTTTAAATCATGATATTTCATCCAAATGACTTTTTTTCTATACATCTTTCCAAAACCAAACCATACGCTCCAACTACATTCTGTAAAAAACTATAAAAACTCCATTAGTGACTCAGCTGAAACCAACAGTCACTTAATAGAAATTCAGGGACTTTTCAACTGAACTGGGCTGAACCACTGCAGTGTGTGTTTACACACAACGGAGAGAAGACGAGTATAGAAACAAATTAAAAATGTATGTTGCAAGATATCTATAGTGTGTGGAGCCCTCTTTTTTTATTTTCCTCCAGCGTTGGTACCAGCTCTGGGCACTTGGAAAAATGTTTTCCATGTTGGTTTTCAGGTTTTTAACATTTTTCTAGAATAAATAATCAAAGAAATGTAACTTTTTTTTATTATTTATGGCTTTATAACCGCGTCATGCTGCACAAAATGTTTTTGAATTGTCTCGACTTGAAGCCACGGCTGTGCTGTTTTCATAGAGGTGTAGGACCGCAGTGAATAATGAGCCCACAGTGAGTGAAAATGTGCCCAGAAACTCCTCGACTCTGTTCCTTCTAACTTCTCTGGCTGTACTTAGCTCTGAGCTAAATGCTAACATGTTGATATTATACAGGTTTACCACGTTCGCCATGTGTTTTATCACCAAAGTTAATACAATGCATCCTGAGCAGTGAACATCAGATTTCATGCCAATTTAGTGCCAGCAGTTCTTCAGTTAATTTACTTAATTACTACTTACTTAACTAGTTTACTTAAACCACAAACATCAACTTCAGGGGGAAAAAATCTGGTCATCCAGGGACAATGAAATAATTTCACAACAATCCAAGAAATATTTAAGATATTTCAGTTTGGACAAAAGACTTGAACCAGAGAGCAATAATCCCCGAAACCCAGCAGGAGGTCCGCCATTTTGGAGCAAACTCCTCCTCGGGGGTAAGTCACAGAGCGCTGAAATTCAGGTAGCATGTAGAGTACACCTTGAAGGTAAACAGTTACGACAATCTTCTGCAAATTTAAAAGGGGCGTGGCCATGGCAGCCTCCTGATTTTTGATCCTTCGCCATGAAACAGGAAGTACTGTCTAACTACCCTGTACATGCTCCAATCTGCCTCAAAATTTCCATATTTGATCAGACTGCTGCCCTGATCACATCCATTTACAGTCATAGCGCCACCTGCTGGCAACAGGATTGACACGTTCTTTTAATTTCATATTTCATCGTACTCTGTGTATGATGACAATGAAAAGCATTCTATTCTATTCTAGCCAGACAAACATTACAGACATACTGATGACACCACATCCTTAAGTTTGGGAACATGTCCTGATAAATAATATCAAGCTAACTTTGTAACTAACTCAAGTGGTGCAGTGACGTTTACAATCCACTTTCTCCTTTTTCTATTTGCTCTTCTACAAAAAACATTGGAACATTTACTCCATTTTACTCTGATTCTATTTCACATCCCCAACCTGAGTGGCAGATCTTTATTTTACCGCTTTACCTATTTGAAGGCAAACATTGCTGCAGAAACTGTTGCTCAGCGCAGTGGCAGCAGAGCAGAAAGCATATAATTACCCCTGGTCTCATTAAGATTATTAAGATTAGACTGTTGCACACAATCCAACGTGAACATAATCAGGTTCAACATCTCCCTGTCTGTCCCCCTTTTCAGCCTTTTTCTACGTGTCCTTCTATTTTAAGATTAATGCACGTTGCCACCTGCTTTAGAGGCACACAGGCCCCTTCGTATTTCTTCATCTCATCCCCAGTGTGATGCACAATCATCATTATCACACAGGTTCGTTATTTATCATTTGCTCCGGTAGTGTGACACTAAAAATACGTGACAGAACCGAGGCTATCTTTCTCTAATTTCTTCAAGCCTTGACTTGTCAGAACATGAATCATTGCTGTTCACAGCCAGTGCAGCAACAAGACATATGAACTTTCCCTCACGTCAGTTTTGCTCACGCACACGGCATCCTGGGTTCATTACAAACTAATTAATGATTCGCAATTCACTCGTATTAAAACGCCCTTTATTCTGCATCAGATGGAGTCAGGGACAAACTTCGCAGCGTGTTTAATCTGTTGCTGTGTAGGAGACCGCCGTAGAAATGTTTGTTCTGAAGAGCCACTGGAGGTTGTGTTTTACAGACTGGCAGCTAAAAGAGCTGCCACATAAACATTGCCTCAGTTCTGTCTCATAAATATTGTTGCTTCAGTCTGGCAAGTGAGAATTCACAGTGACAACGTGGGACTCTACCGTGTGAATACGCACATACAGCGGGCGCCTTGTTTCTGTGTACATTTTTTTGTTTTGGCTGTGTTATTAACCGCAAAGCAAACAGCCGTCGCTCGGCCCGCCACCGTTACACCGTCTTCACTCCACCTGACCCGTCCTCCCCTCCTCCGGTATTACAATATATTGACGTCTCCGTGTATTTCTTGCGTCTGAGTAAACTGTTGTTAAAGGGGAACAATTGTTTGCTTCTCTAAATCCTGTGAGATCCGACAGTAATTTCACAAGAGGAGGAGAAGTCTGATATTGTGAGAAAATACGCTCGACATAAGAGTTTTTTTTGCTGGAAGACTCTAGGGAAAGGGGTTCAGTGCAAAATAAACTGAGAAGTAACAACATTTTGTACGACAGCCTCAGACTGATAATCTGTATTCTCAAACCGAGACCAAACAAAACAGAAGAAATGAAGCCTCAGCGCAAGATAAGACACATATTTATCACAGTCCACAGGCATAAAGTTTCAGAAGTCATTTGTGGAGCAGATTACTTTCAAAGTATGCATGTGTTCTTTGTTGTTAATAGTAGGTCTTTTAGTCCTATAGTATATCCTGCAGGTAATTGCACTCTATGCTTAAATGGAATCCAAATCATGTCATTACATTTGTCTGCTCGGCCCGCGTTCTGCTGCTCTCCAGCTTTGAAGACACGTATATGAGTTTTATTGCATTACGGTCATTCGCCTGCGAAGTGCGTCATCTGATCTTCCCAGAATGAAAGAAAGCGAGTGAGGGGGGAAAAAAAAGTGGAGCTTCAAAAGCCAGGGAACATGATCTACATATTAACATGTACTATAGGTGCTCAGCCACCTGCGCAAAAAGAAAAAAAAAAAAAACACCATTTCAGTGTCCATCCTGCAGAAAGGCTGCTCAGAAAATAAGTGCAAGACAGCTGTAACAGGCAGACGGTAAGGCAGCGCAACACAGAACAAATCAGGGAGGAAAGGAATGGAAAGAAAAAAAGAAGGATCCCAGGGGAGAGGCTTATCATGGCACACTGTTCCCTTTGTGCCACCATATCACGCTGTCATGCAGAAGGCTGCCAACCCCACAGCTTCTTTTCAGCCACAGCACAAGACAGTTTGTAAAGCATAGTTTTGTTGGGTTTTTTTTCGCTTTTGGTTTGAGTTTAAAAGGGCATTTGTCTACTCTTGTGAAATGTCAACCTGTGCACCAGGATCATGTAGTGAATGTTGAAAATGTTACGACGGGTGTTACAAGATCTGTAACTGGGTTATACGCAGGCATGAGGGTTCTGATGTGATTAGAAACTTTTATTTACTCAGGGACAGAAGTGATTCAGTTTGCAGTGTTAACGTCATTGAAATGTGCGGTTATTGATGTGTTTTTTCTTCCACTTGTGGCTGCGCGGTGAAATGAAAGATGTAACTAAGTACATTTACACCCACATGCTGTACTTCTGGGCAGAATTTGAAGTTCCTGAGTTTTTTCAGTTTGCTTCATTTGATAGTACAAATTAAAAAGGAAATACGATGCTTGTTAATCAACAACACAGTTATCAGCTGGAGTTACTAATTACTAACAACAGGAATTGTGTTGATTAACTACACAACAGTGCATGAACTATAATAATCTGGGAATAGTATATAAATACGTACTATGCTTCTTCTGTTTTTTTTAAGCTTTTATTACTAGCTAGTCATCTTTACAGTGCAGAATAGCAACTTGTTCTTAAGTAAGGAATCTTAATACTTCGACTCGAAAAAGGTTTGTGTATTTTTAAGGCTCTAAAAAAAATGGGTAGGCCGATGTCAGCGTGTTGCACCTGCGTTTGCTCAGTTTGTAAAATTAAAATGAGCCTCATTAATACCAGATTGTAGCCATTAAACACTCTTTGTTTGTTTGTAATTTACCTAAGAGCAAGATCGAAGTGAAATTCAAAATGTGAAAATCACAATGACATCATCACAGAGGACGTTCGGCTCATCGGATACCAAACCCAGAGCACAAAATCCTCACCATGTGTGTTGCCGCCAAATAATAACGAAATTTCAACAATAAATAACACAAATGTGTCTGACATTGAGTCGCTTCTTTCCAGATAATGGGCGATACACAATTTGTATTTATTAGGTGTTGATTTCATCTGAGTCCTTTCCTTCCCCGCTTCAGGGAGATTTACACCATAGATACAGATTCATTTTAGAAATTGATTTATGCAGATTTTGTGCTAATTTATTATATGAATATGTGACAGTCAAGCAGCTTTTCCTCATTTGTTTGACTTGTTGCTGTGGTTGCTGGGAGCAAAGTCTGCACTGCTGGGTTTATTCATATTTGAATTGCCACTGCTGAGTTCATTGGATTTTTAAAAAAAAAAAAAAAAAACTCATGATTTATTCAAAAATATATATATATATATTTGGGCTGTATTTATTTTTTATACTGATGCACTATTTCTCCCTCTCGATCTTTTTCAGATGTAAATGGAGAAGCAGCAGTGTCACCAGGAGGAGCTGGACATCCGTACAGTTATAAAGTGCTTTGCATTAAAACGCAAACAGCATCTCTTCTCTCTAAAGTAATCCATTACTGACAATTAATGTCAGACTGCACGCTGGAGCAGCTTAATGCTGCCTCACTGGGTGAAACATCACTAATGGAAAGAAAGCCTTATAAGATCGCACTCATCAAAATACACTTAAATGCAGCATAATGCCTTCAAAAGTGTCATGTTTATACCTGTTGACAGTGGTCTGCTGGGCGAGCGCTCTGTGGTATTTGAGCATATCTCGCCCGACGTCCACGTATGTCGGCCACATGTCTGTGCCTATACGGAAGACTGTGAAACCTCAGAAAAACATCACCTTCACCAACATCCGCACCCGCCCCCTCAACCCACACGCCTTTGAGTTTGTGATCAACGAGCCGAAGAAGTGCGAAAGCGTCACGCCCTTCCTGGTCATCCTCATCAGCACCACGCACAAGGAGTTCGACGCGCGACAGGCCATCCGGGAGACCTGGGGGGACGAGAGCACCTTCGGCGACATCCGCATCCTCACGATCTTTCTGCTGGGCAGGAACACGGACGCCGTGCTGAACCAGATGGTGGAGCAGGAGAGTCAGATCTTCCATGACATTGTAGTGGAGAACTTTATCGATTCTTATCACAATCTCACCCTCAAGACCATGATGGGGATGCGCTGGGTGGCCACCTTCTGCCCCAAAGCGCAGTACATCATGAAGACGGACAGCGACATCTTCGTCAACATGGACAATCTGATCTACAAGCTCCTGAAGCCCACCACCAAGCCGAGGAGGAGATATTTCACTGGCTACGTGATCAACGGCGGTCCCATTAGGGACATGCGCAGCAAGTGGTACATGCCCAGAGACCTGTATCCTGACAGTAAATACCCACCTTTCTGCTCAGGCACCGGCTACGTGTTCTCAGCAGATGTAGCTGAGCTAATCTACAAGACTTCATTACACACAAGACTGTTGCACCTGGAGGATGTGTATGTGGGACTGTGTTTGCGTAAGCTGGGTATACACCCTTATCAGAACAGTGGTTTTAATCACTGGAAAATGGCCTACAGTCTCTGCAGATACAGGAGGGTTATCACTGTCCACCAGATCTCCCCTGAGGAGATGCACCGCATTTGGAATGACATGTCCAGCAAGAAGCACTTGAGATGTTAGGGGACATGAAGAACCACTCAACAACTACTTAATTATTATTATTTTTGGCCTTTTTTCTTCATTGCAAATGTTATCACACAACGAATAATGTACAAAAAAAAAGTAAATAAATAAACTGCGAGGGCTGCTGCAAGTCTCATGACAGATGTTTTCATTAATATCCATCTACTTCTGCTGATCACACCTCATGATTGTTACTGAGTGCATGAGGCCTGTAAAGCGCGTATACTCATGCACAGATAAAACGCGGTGTTGTTGTTGAAAGTACTTTTGTTCACATACACGAGGTCCACTTTGTGTAGACTATTCTTGACGAGCATTAAGTCAGGTAGAGGCGGCGCGTCATTCAGATGGGTTCGGTTCACACTCAACAACCTTTTCGTCCTGCTAAAGTGTCCTTGAGCAAGACACTGAATCTCTAACCAGCTGCTGACTCAGCGGGACTGCAAGCCAAAAGAGAAGAATGTGTACGAATCGATAAAGTGTTAATATTACATCCTTATATTAGACTTTGTTACAAGTATTATTTAGAAATGAAAGTTCCTGAACAACGCAAATGTAACCGAAAACAAACGGGCTCTTTTGTTGACTGCTCTCAGCTTCCTCCATCTTTTCGACAAACAGGCGACAACGAGCTGCAGAATATTATCAATCTCTTAACCGCACCTAAGTCGCAAAGATAATTTGGCACTGTATGAATTGGTAATTTTCCAAAAGAGAATTTCGCAGACTAGATAGTAGCATTAGTTATGACAAAAAAAACCCCACACAGCTAAATTCACTGGTTGCTCTTTTATTATGAATTTGCCTGCTGTTTTTGTTTACAGATTGTCATCATTCCACTGCCTCTTCTCTCTGAACAAGCTGTGTGTATATTTTGTTTTTGGTTTTTTTTTTCAGATGCATTTTGTTGTTTTCCCTCTTTGACATTTTCATACTTGAGGTAATTATGTGTCTCAGCTACCAGCTTCTCATTACTGCAGCTGCTGCTCTTGGTTATGTATGTTGTACATCAGCAGCGATTTCAGCTCATCAACTCCTCCACACATCAAGAGAAACGCAGCATCATGTCGTGTCGAGTATCAGTTTAATTGTAGCTACGGCCGTTACAGACTGGATGTATTATCATATGTATCTGGCATATCAGTGAATATGGAAGCACTGCTACTGACTTCATGGAAAATGTTTTATGTTTCTCAGAAGATGTGGCTTTTGTGGCCAAATTTCCTTTTTCTTTCTTTCTTTTTTTTTTTCCAGAATTTTTGTAGTATTATAAGCTAATGTGACATTTACTGTGAAAGCATCTATCCCACAAGGGGTTGTTGTTATATATTGTGTTTTTTATATTAAAAAACAAATACTTGAATAATTAAAGTTCTATTACTGCTTGTGCTCGTCGCCTTCTTCCACTTTCAGTCAGTGACGGAGTTGCGGATGACTGTAGGTTTATTAAATGCTTTTAAAAGTAAATCTTTTCGTATCGCGAGGAGCAGTTTATTATTAAGGTGCTGCCATAAAGGTTGCAATTATTTAGTCACGTAATGCAAATCTGAGTATCAGTTACTTAGCAACAACATATTTGGCCACGGATCTGAAATGAAATGGTAGAAAGTAGAGCAAAAGAAGAGTCAAAGCAGAAAACTCACTCCATAATGTTTGTTATTCTTGTTAAAGTTCTTCTCCAGATATCGATTAAAGCCCTAAAAAGTTGTCTGTGTAGAATAAAAAGTACATACTGAGAAGTTTTTTTTCCACAAAAATAATGACTTAGATGCATCACTACACCATTGCTCTCTCTCAACAATGTGCAGATCTGTGAAGTCCCCTCCTCTCTCCACCAGCTGCAGCTCAAGCACACCAGCTCACCAACAAGTCCACTCAAACCCCATAAAACTCACCCATGTAATATTGTAGTAATTCAACCATATATGTTTGAACCAGAATTCTGAAGGAGGACACAGAAACCCAACCAACACGTTGACAGGATTAGTTTCTTTGGTTTGTTACAAATAAAATTTGCAGACATCCAAACCTCTGCTTTTGAGACTGTCATCGGTTGGTGGAAATGCTCACCCCATGGGGATGTCTTGTTGTTTTGCTCATAATAAGTCTTCCAACATTTAAAAAAAACACCATATGAACATAGCAACAAGGTAAAAGTCTTTCACCTAATGGGGTCTTTAGCATGAGCTACCATAAGCTCCTGGTCCCAACAGACCACATCCGACTGTAGCAACAGAACTTCTCAGTGGATTAAATTGGGCATCATTTTATACATTTTACATGCATTTTTATTTGGAAGATGAAAAATGTATTATCTGGAAAAATAGCAAAGCCAGTTCTATTGTGTAGCCAAAACGTGGTACATTATAAAACTTCCTTATTATCATAAAGTATTTATTAGTGATGCACGATATTAAAATTTCTGGCCGATACCGATATTAAGATTTCTGATATCGCCGATAACCAATATTACCGATGCCGATATTCAATTTTTGTTCACACCAAAAAATGAGTATAAGTAAGCACTGTGAGAACGTGAAAACTATTCAAAAGAAGCCCAAATTAGACCACATAATCTTCTTTATTACGTAACAAAAGTAAAACATGTTTAAACACATTTTAACATGTTTAGAGTCCAGGATCATTTAAGTAAAAACATCTGCAAAACAGCAGCAATATCAGATGTAGAGACGAAGGCGCTAATGTTAGACAATCGTTTTTTTTTTTTACATCGACTAAATTTGTTAATTGGACCGATACCGATATATCAGAAAAAACACTAATATCGGCCGATGTGGTCGCCGATATATCGTGCATCCCTAGTATGTGTTAAAGTGTTGGGGGTTAGTGGGATCATTACTACAAATAAGTCTAGTTTTAATTAAATATATATTAAGACACTGGAAGCTTTTTAAATAATAGCAATTCTTTATTTGTTGCTCCTCATCAGAAATTTGACATCAGCTGATTACAGAGAGGGAACAGGGGTAATATGCTGAAATGGTACACATACTGTACATAGAAAACACAATAAATTACTTCATAAAATAAAGAATTTAGTAGAAGTTAATATTTTAACACCTCAATACCTAAAAAATAATTTAGAGCTACTGGACTTGTTTGGACAAACAAATGGCTCGTCACCTTTTCAGTAGTTGCCGTTTTGGTTTCATCCTCAGATGCATTGTCATACAGTATGTTTTCGTAACTAATAGAATAATTTTTTTTTTTTGGAAACAGAAAGTTTCGTAGTGCAGCAGGACAGAGTATGAAAATGAAACTGTTGCGGTTTTGTCGAATAGCCTGGCATCTGAAAACGCGTCAACCAGAACAGATTACACGACTGCAGGTTCTGTTATGTTTTATTTGTCTGATGACAAAAGCACTCAAATTAACTTGTCTCCAGGGGCTAAGCATCTGCTTGTCGGGGTGCACACACTCAGCCCAAAAGTGCATTTCAGTTTGCCTCATTAGATACTTCACTTGAATTGTGTCATTGCTGGAGTAATACATTGGTGGAAATGGTAATCAGCAGGCTCTGGTCTTTGTGTGGTCTCACTCGTTGACTACTTTCTTAGGCACAGAAAAATGAACAAGGCACCTCTAGCATTTTGAAGCGTTAACACTGTCGAGAGCAGCAAATTATACACAGTAGCATCCAGGTCTCGTTTTTTTTTCTTTTCTTTTTTTTTTTTTGTTACTGCACACTCAAGCAAATGGGTCCCTTCTTGGTAAAATGAAACAGGCCTTGACACGGAAATACAATTCATTCTATTTTTAGACATTCATGACGTTCTTATGAAAATGTGCTTTTCCCCATAAATTAACTAAATCTTACATTCTGACACAGACCTCAGGGAAACTTCACAAATGAGTGGGTTCGTGAGATGTGAGTCAAAGCAAATTTGTTTTCACTGTGGCAACAAAACAGCGTGAGAGGGAGGGGGGGAAAAAAATAAAAAATTACCTTCTCATTTCAATAAATAATGAGAGCTTTGCTGAACACAGAGGTAATGTGATGTAAAACAAAAACAAAAAAAAAAAGAGTAAATAAATAAAACATTCAAAGCTACATCTTAATCACCTTCTTTCACCACCTGAGTACATCTTTAGGGCTGTAATCCTGATCCTGGTCTGTGCGCTGGGCGGTGGAATGTTGTTAAGGTTAAAGGTCGGGGGACAGTGAGGAGGGAATTCGCGCTAAGGAGGTGCAGGTGGGGCGGTGGCAGAGCTTGGCCTCGGGGAAGGTGAAAAGAGGTGCGCAAGGAGGAGGAGGAGGTGGTGGAGGAGGAGGAGGAGGAGGAGAAGTGAGTTTTCAGGGTGGGTTTTCTTTTGGGAACATATTGCAGGAAGTGGTGGTTGTGTTCCTCAGTCTGTCTGCCCTGAACTGTCTCCCCTGTCTCACCTGCTTCAGGCATGAAGAGAGCATCAGCTAACACTCAGCTGCGCAAAGCCGATCAACTTCACCTCATCCGGAATCTCCGTGTCATCGCAGCCGGAAGCCTGCGCAAAGGAGGGAGACAGCAAGAGGATCACTCGCATCTCCATCGACAGAACCAGGCAGCCCCAAAAGTCTCAAAGTTTCACATTTCACTAAATCAGATTTCAAAAGATGAAAGAAACAACAATGTGACAATTCTCCGGTAGTCTCAACCATAACTTCAGTTTATTTCAATTATATAATAAAATAGTGATTCGGTCTCAGTTGGGCTGCTGTGCATTGAGGTTAAAAATACATTCAATTTGAGGATGAGATGCACGGATAATTTTTCCTCTCCACGTTTTTATTACAAAGTTTAAACTTGTGGTTCTGCCGTCTAAAACTTATTTAATAGACTTTTCATGTTTCCCTTTTCTTAAGTGACTTTCTGGCCACTTGGGTGGAGTTGAAACAAACTGTAAAAGGCAACAGTGACATTGTTTATCACCTCAAGTTGATGCATCGGACGTGTTGCTAATTCACAAATCAAGCAGTAATGGAGCCAAGGCCAATAACAACAGTAGACTTTAAAAGTTTTTTTTTCTCTTAGAACAGCTAAATACTGCATCTGGCAAATGGCACTAATGTCAGAGAAGCTAGGTTGTGGTCCATAAAAGCTGAAACAGTGAGCTGAAAGAGTAACTGCAGACTAGGGTGATAAATCTCTGTTCCTTCAGTACAAGCAGCCCCGTCTACATTGTGCCTCAGTCATGTGATTAATCGGCCATAATAACAATGATTATAGCTTTTGCCGTTACAATTTTTTTTTTAAAGGCAGTGGAAATGAAAGAGGAATTCATAAAGGTTGGTCACATCTGGACATTACCTAATCGGTTTTCAATAAGGTCAGTATTGTGCTGCAGCAGAATATCAGATTAGAGCAGCTGTAGTGTGCAATGTGATCAAATGAGAAAACACAAATTTAGACTCATGTATCTTCGTCTCCTCACAGTTTGTATAGAATAAAAACGCGTGTCGTGTTCAACATATATCGACTAGAGTATGTGACCAAAGGTACTGGACTCTGATTCTTTGATTTACTTCTCGTCTGGTGCGGTTTTCCGTGACTTGGGCTTCTTACAGCTAAGGTAATTCTCAAAGCTCCAGCATACAATTATACTTTAATCGTGTACTTTCAACTTCGATGCAGCAATTCGGGAAAAGGTTTTTTCCTGTTATAACATGGCAGTGCCCTTGAGGTAATTAGGAAATGCTTTTCAGAGTTTGGTGTGAAAGAACTTGACTGACCTGCTCTGACATTACCACCATGCGACGCTTTTAAGATGAATTGTAGCGCTGATTGCAAGCCGGCCCTTATCACCTAAGCATCAATGGCTGACCTTACCGATGCTCTTGTGGCTAAATTGGATCAAATCCTTGCAGTCCATCGATTTCGGAATAAGATGATGAACAAACGGGTGTAAACTAGACGGCTCCCTCCGACAAGGCGCAGTTTATTTAACTCCCAGCACCTCGTCTCACCTCAATTTTTAGGCTGGTTAGATGCTGCTCACGGAGGCAATATTACAAAGAGCGAGCATTCCGATTTGTCTGACTGAAAATGAGAGTCTTTTTAATTTTTAATTTTTTTTTAATTCGGCTGTCCTCAGGAAAAGCTGGAGAATGAATGGGTGACCTAACACCTGCTGGCCACCACAATTCACGCCTTATCTGGGAGAGACACTCCAACACTCTGGGGGTCTGAGAGCTCTGCAGTTGTCTAATCAACACGGAGGCATTGGTATTAAAACAGGTCAGTTTTTGTGAGCTCAGAGTCTATGGTGATCTCTTGTTCAGTTCAGCCATAAAGCTGCTATAGTGCCACCCACATCATAAATTGTCTGTATAAAGTGTTATGAATTGTTCCCCTCACGAGGGTAATTATTCTCAGTCCCTGGGTTTTGTGACGCTGCCCTCGTAACTCTTCGTTTAGGAAGGCCGAGTTGAGCCGCAGTGAGGACTTCACACTGCCTGCAGTGGAGCAGCGTTAACATATGGAAATAAAGCATGCCCATATATCTGCATGTCCCACTCAGCCTTCACTCTGACTCTCCAGAGATTTGTCCACCTGCAGCACTTCTAGCTGCTGATAAGGCAAACATGGCCGAAAGGTCGCTCTGTGAAATACTGTGACCTTAAGCACAGATGTTGTTTACCAACAACTACATAAAGGTCAGTAAAATATCATTTACATATTTTTTTTCAAAACCAGAGGGATTGAAATTATTTCCTATCTTATCGCATTCTAATAGGTCACGCAGCATAAAGGTGGCGTCTTAATAGCACATCTGCAACATCCAACATGTCGTTTTAGGTCCTTTTCTCTCCTGATGATGCAACAAAGTGTCTCTGTTCTCAAAATGAGTGATCCAAAGGTGAACTGTGGTGAGCATAAATAAGTAAACAGTAACCAGCAGTTTCAATCATGATTTAACAGGTACAACACAGAGTGAAGCCAACAGAAAGAAAACATTGCTGGTGCTGGTTGAAAATTGTGTTTGACCCACAGACACAGTATTTGGTTCATGCTGGAGATGAAGACTGTCAGACTCCTGTGAGTCCTCTCCATGGACAAATACTGCAGAAACCACAAAGCAAAGCTCTGTACTCGTCTAATGCAGAGCTATTTGGGCCATGTGTTCACAGTGCAGATTTGTCAGATAAGCACAGCAATATATCACAGAAATAGCAACATTAAATTAGACCGGATGAAGTGACTTTGAATCAGGATGTGGTTAAAAAATTACAACTGGGACATAATGTAGTTAAAAGTTACCAACATTCAGGGGATAGTTTGACTGAACATTAAAGGGCCCACATTCTGTACAGTTATCAGTTTAAATTTGTAATGTTGGTGCCTCTTAGAATATGTTTACATTCTTTAATGTTGAAAAAATGAATTACTTCTCTCATACTGTATATTGCTCTTCTCACTCTCCATCTGAAATGATCTGTAGCTTCTGTATCTTTAAGGCCCTGCTCCCAAAAACCCTGATAAAAGCGACGTAATGTTGGTTACGTACAACAACGAGGGCTTGATGGCTGACTGCGAGGGAGCTGTTCATTCTTTGCATGAGTGTTTGTCATAGTAGGTGCTAGGCACATGTTATGCAAATTATAACACAGTGATGTAAATAAGTAACAGAAGAAAAGCCTGGACTTTAAATGACGCGTTACAGGCAGGTAAGGAGAAGTGTTTCCTGGATGGATAATGAACTTTGCAAGTTTTTCTTTTACACACACAAAAAAACATTGGAAGAACCCCAAAAGCCTAATATGGCTTCTTCAAATATGGATCATAGACAAAAAAAAAGCAATAAAAACTATATATTTATAGTTGAACATACAATCCATCCGTCCATCATCTATACACCACTTAATCCTCACTAGGGTCACGGGGGGCTGGAGCCTATCCCAGCTGACTTAGGGTGAAGGCAGGAGACACCCTGAACAGGTCACCAGTCTATCACAGGGCTACACTTAGAGACAGACAACCAAGCACACACATACTCACACCTACGGACAATTTAGAATCACCAATTAACCTCAGCATGTTTTTGGACTGTGTGGGAGGAACCCGGAGAGAACCCACGCTGCACGGGGAGAACATGCAAACTCCACGCAGAAAGATCCTGGGACGTGAACCGGCGACCTTCTTGCTGCGAGGCAACAGTGCTACAAACTGCACTACCTTGCAGCTGAACATACAATGTTTGTTTTAAATACAGCATATCTTTAGTTTAAATATATTTATTGCATAGTATATATGATAATATCAACAAGCTGAGCCTGTTATATTTCTAGCGATATGAGAAGCATCTTTGTAGGAACAAATTTCACAAACATTTCATTGCAGTACTTCAGGAAACACATATTGCCATCTCATATTTACTTGTTTCTGTAGTGTCAGCCCTCCAGTCTACTTCACTCCATCACGTCTCCTAAAATAATTCTTTGTGTCGTCGACAGAAAAACCCTCAGCGACAGACGCTGGTTGGTGCTGCAGCTATTTGTGCTGTTTGTGGCCTTTCTACTAACTGCAGCTCTCACATTCCTCACCAGAGCTTTCATCAACAAGCTGCTCATGGCTGGACACTGTCGGGCATGACAAACCCATGGCGCCTGCCGTCAGCCATCAATCATGTGGAAACTCACCAGCTTAAAGGTCAACACTTTGTAGGTAGTTGGGTCATCTACAATCTTTTGAAGGTTAGCAGCAACTGTACCAGAAAGAGAACAACAACGTTAAAATAATATCGGACAAGTGCTGACATTATGCAGAGAACATTTTAGGACAACAGTGGACGAATTAAGCTCTGTGTATCTTTGGTAATGGCTGATCTAGTACCATTACAATGCTCTCTAAGTGTTTTATGGTAAATGGTTTTTGTGTTTTACAACATCACAACTTTACTGTAAAAAGAGGTGTAGCATTACCAACAACAACATCGTGTCCATTGACCAGACCAGCCGAGAACAGTTCCTGGGAAACGCCATCAGCAGTGTCTTGTGAGGGAAAAACATGACAAATATTGGGCCTGCAACATTCCACTTAGCAGGTAATTGCGTTAGATACTGAATTAGACGCTGTCCAGAGCACACTGCCATTACCCATTACACACACAGCGGTTCATACAGTGAGAGATGCTATCACGAGGGGAATAGCATATTCTAAATTCATTTAGGCTGAGCTCTTACCTCGCCCCGGAGTGAATTCAAACCGAATGTCATTCAGCTCCTTTCTGGAGTTCCTGAAAGAAGAGACAAGTGGGTGTGATTGCACAAGTAGCGTCTGAAATGGCAGATTTAACTTTGTTGCCGAGACATGACGGAGCTACAGATCGAGGCTGAGTGCAGAGATGAAATTACTCCTGCGAGCTGAGAGAGGTGATGATAAAGTGAAGGGGAAATTCCTCCTAAGTTTTAAGAGCAGACAGTTCAGGACTTTCTCCACAGGACCAGCAGTGTCTTCAAAAACCACAAGAATGCCGACCCATAACTGAACCACATCCTCCGCAGCAGCGTACTGAAACACCAAGCAGGCAAGATAAGGAACACCTCATCCCAGAGTCACACCCCGCTATGAGGTGAAAACATAACTTCAACAACTCAGACCCCGGCACACACATTCATCACTTTCACACCTTCCAGTTTCAAACAGTCCATCAGCAAGAACATTAACTCGTCAGGACTCTTTCTTATTTGGACCTGCAATGCAAGAAGAAGCCTCTGCAGGGTCACAAATAAGCTGTCACGCTGTTATTCTGACCCACTGCTTCTCAGGTAACAGTCATTTCATCTGTCTATCAGGTTTCTCACGCCGTCTCTAAAATAGATCAGAAATTCTTCCATTCATTGGCTCGGTAGCCATACAGCTTTGTGTTCTGGCTGCTTCTTCGAGCTCCCACCTTTCACTTTCATGGCTTTGTTTGCTTCTTTTGTAACAGTAATGCAACAGTAATGCATCTAATAATAAAATCAACAAGTATCACACCTCTGATTGGCCATTCAAAAGGGTTATTCTCCATTATTACACATATTCTCAAACAAATTATCTCTCTGGACAAATGTAGCAGGTATAAATCCAGCTAGTTTTACTGATAAACTGCACCCTTCAGCCTCTGTGCAGCATCCACTTGCATCACATCTATTAAAATCTGTCTTTAAAATGTGTCTGGGACAGGAGAGTAGCTGTTTTCTGGTCAAGGCGGGACCTGACGGTGCTGCCCCCAAAAACACCATTGGTGAGATTAATTTGTTTGGTAGTCTAGCTATATAAATCATCCGGCTAGCCCACAAGCCTAATTTTAGACGAGATTAGAGCCATAAGTCAACACACACACACAAACCAAAGACATATCTGTAATGAGGTTGTTAGCAGCGAGCCCAGATGAAACTGAGGGAACGAGGATTTACTATCATTCAGCTGTGAGTCGACTGGACTTGTTTTAATTTCAGACATTATGCAGTTGAGAAGGAGAAAAAAAACAACTCTGGTGGAGCAGATGGATGTAAACAACATCTCTTTTCCCAGCAGTGAAAGCAGAGGGTGTCCACTGCCAAGGCTGATGAGGCAACATGTATGTCAGATGATCATAACCCTGCCCAAATTAAGTGTGTCTAAAATCTGCCTCCTCTGTAGAAAAACCCACAGAGACTGTTTGGAAAACATTCTGTCAGACTGCACCACAACCGTCTGGGATTAGCCATGTACAGAAGACTGAGTTATCAGTGGCTTTCTGAATACTTGCTTGAGGATTTAATGATTCCACGGTTGAGGAACAGTAAAATGGCCACCAGAACCCTTTTTGAACACTGTGAGTTCAGATGCTCGTATAAGATGACTGCATTACTCTGCTCAACAACTGCATATTTTAGCATCCTTTTATTCTGGAGGAAAAGAAAAAGCAAAGCACAATAATAACACAAATTTTTTATTTATTTTTTTAAATGTCTGTGATTTTAGTTAATGTCTTAATAAACATTTCAAACATAACGGAGACTGGAGACTCCAATGAAATTAATTAAAAATGATTTCAGTGTTTGTCAGCGCAGCCCAGCATTGTTGGCTGTCACAGACATTACTGATAGCGGAGCCAACTGGAATTTTTAGATAAGTAAATGCAAATATGAAACACACTATGTGGCCAACAAACAGGCATCCTGTTGTGCCGAGAGTAGATAGGTTTACTCTGTATTTTAAACACGGACTGGTTTTCTGATTTGTTTTTTTAAAAGAAAAAGCCACTCAGTGCACGTCTGTAGAGAATCCACGGTTAGAATCAAACAAAGAAAAGCAACAAAAGCTTACATTTTAACCCAAAGAGCACGTAACTGAACAACAAGAGCAGTTCAGTGTCTTCTGCAAATGACTTTTAGATTTTTTATTTTAAATTATTTTTTCTGGCCTTTGTGCCTTTATTAGTCAGGATAGTGAGAGAGTGAGACAGGAGAGGGGGGGAGAAGAATGAGGAGAGATCTGCAGCAAAAGGTCACGAGCCGGACTCGAACCCATGACCACTGCGTTGGGGAACTATAGCCCCTGCTCATGGGTCGCCTGCTCAACCAGGTGAGCTACAAGGGCCCCCTGACTTCCAGATTTTGAAAAGAAAACAAAAATATAAATTGCTTTAAAAAACTGTTCAGTGCTTTAAAATTGTACGAGGACCAAAACTTATCAGCTACTGTGGCCTCGTCTATAAGTCGGTGTGCAGGCGGTCAGGCAGCTGAACATCCAACATTATTATATTTGTTTAGAGAAAAACATACAAGTCAAGTGTGGAAAGTCCTGTTTCCAATCTTCACATACTGCCTAAAAAATATTTACTTGGGAACTAGAGTTACACTTTTCTCTATAACTAGTACAAAAAAACTGTCTTTCAAAGAAACTCGCAATTTTCCATGTTTTGAAATTAGCCATTCACTGCTCATGTACAGCGCCCTCTATAATTATTGGCACCCTGGTTAAGATGTGTTAAAAGCCTTAAAATAAATTCAACTTTTATTGCGGAAACATACTCTCACACTGAAAACTGTAGAAAAATGTAGCCTTCAACTCAAGGGGGTTGTACAAAGTATTAACATCAAGGGTGCTGATAATTGTTGCACATATGATTTGATGTAAAAGAATTATTTATTAATGTGAGATTTTTTTCACACTGAATAAATGCACTTGAATTAAAGGTTGAATTTTCCTCTTTTTTTCATTGTGGTCCTATATTATTGAGAAAAAAACTGAATTTACTAGAAGCTAAAGAACACATCTTAACCAGGAGTGCCAATAATTTTGCTGATGAATCTATGCTTTACTGTTAACAGGTTAATGACTGATTCTATATAAGTGTCTAAAAACTGTGAAAAGGCCTGTAATGGTTTCATAGAGTCCTAAGTGCCATCTTCATATTAATTGTTTCGTCTGATCAACAGCCTCAAACTTGAAAATCAAAAACTCCTCTGAGTTTGAGAAGCCTATTTTATGCCTTCTTCTTCGTCTTCGTCTTCTTGTTCTTAAGAAAGACAACTGACAAGAAGCTCAGATGGATGCGGGAGATACAGGCACACACAGATCCATGTTTCTCTGACATTCAAATTCTGAATTTGTCAACCTGCAGCTACCTTTTATAAACAAGAGACTTTAGAAAACACAAGGAAATGTCACCTCTTGACATAAACTTCTCGGTGAAATCAGTTTGCGTTTGTCCTATTTTGGGTATTCAAGCTCCAATGACATTGCACCAACTGCCAAGCATTGTGTGCATTTCCCCTTTAAACTGCTGACATTGCTATTCTCAGGGGCTCTCAATGTCTGTGTAAAAGAAGAAAAAAAAAAAAAGAAAAAGATGTGTGAGTTCCAAGCAAAATGTTGAAAATAATCCAATCATGCTGCTGCTGTTCCCCCGTCCCTGCAACTGAGGGGCTCGTATTACCATAAACTCATGCTAATAAGCTGTAACTCACTTCTCAGTTGAGAAAGGAGACCAATTAGTTGTTTATTTTGGTCTCTCCAACGCAATTACTTTTAGGCACTCACTGTTTTAAAGCCTTTAAACTTTTACAAGCTGTCATGGATTTTAACATTAAATCACTATTATCATTATTTTGTTGTTTTTTTTCTCCACCGGTTTATCTTGAGGTTAGAATAAAAACGCACAAGTGACATCAGTCGGTGGGATCCAGGCTTGGAAAAAAGAATTGTCTTGACAATGATGAGTAACAAGAAACTGGCTGATTACTCACTGTAGCCAGTGCATTTGTTTGTGGCTCAGATTAACAAACTTGACTCGCACTTGCTTTGCCTGGTTTCAAGCAGGCTAAGAACCGCTTTCATCATTAATGACCTTGAGCTGTTTGTTATATTACAAGCAACAGTAAGTAAAACCTCACTGATAACTGCTGTTTAAGAGCCAAAAAAAAGCAATAAAGAACGCCACAAATTTCCGCTTTACATTAATATTCCAGATAAAGCCTTCATTTCATCACCCTGCTTTAATACACTGCTTCTTATGCAGCCTCATACTATTTGTGAATGCCATAAATATCTCTCATTCTGCCCCCACAACACAGGAGCACAGCCAAAGAAAATCCCAAAATATGAGCACAACCTCTCATCCTATAAAACCCTCTGTGCTGATTCACTTTAAAACACACCAGCCAAAATCTTCTGAAAAAGTCAAAGTTGTCTTAAAGCAGCATCTTGTCAGTCAGAATCAAACTGCTAAGAATCTGTTCACATCCCAAAACTCACATTTAACACAAAGTAAAAGACTGATTCTGTGCCAGCCAACATCTCCTGCTCAGTTACAAATAAATTTGTTGATAGCGTCAGCTCATATTTTGCTTCAAATATAATGTTCTGTCAATTCTTTTTAATTTTAAGGAATATAAAGCATAATACAAGATTTTATCATTGAAACATAAGCATGTTGAAGAAGACGGTGCCGTAAAAGGTCCATCAGGGCATAAAAAAGCTTTCAGACTTACATGTAAAAGGGTATCCGTCACACGTCTGAATCTCTAATACAATAATTCTTGCTGACACACCATAGAAGCGACCTGACAGCCTAATGCCATGATCATATTTAACACGGTGAAAGTGCTATCCTGTGGAAATTCATTTGCTGCATGACTCTGCGTTGACACAATTTTACAAGCCTGTTCAGAATTTTTACATGTAATAAGAGATGCGATGAAAGCTTATGTTGTAACTGTACGATAACCAGATGTAATCAGAGTCAAAGCCAGAAAATCCACAGCTCGAACAAACACTATGTACAAACTGTGAAACTGCAGAACAGAAAAGGCCGAAACAATCAAAGCACAGCACATTTGTTTTCATCAGAGGCTTAGAATAATGACTCTTTACCAGTAAACAGTTAGTCGCCACCTGTTGCATCCAGATCACTGTTTTGTTAGTAAGCACAGAATAAAATGGTTTTCTGTGCTATGCTCGACGCCTGGGGGGAGACCTTCAGATGTCTATTCAAGCAAGAGTGTGCTCAGCAACCGGCTCATCGGGGAGCTACTGGCAGACTTTGTGTCCAAAAATGCACAGTTGGGCGTCTGTTGCCGCTTCCTTTCTCTTTAGTTCTATTTCTGTGTTTCTGTATTCTCAAAAAGATATACAAAGAAATGTTTAAAATATATATATATATGGAAAAAATGCAACGGAGGGAAAATCAGCATCTACCCTAAATTCTCCTATCACATACTCTGGCACTAAATTTAGTTGTTTCATAACAGGAGGTATCAACATTGATCATGCTGTGGCTGAATCACAGGCCTCCAATTTGTCATTTTCATAAACAGCAATGTCCTGCATAATGCAGCAAGAAGAGTGCGGTGCTGTGAGTGCAAACAGTCGACGGGAGGAAAGCAGATTGTGGAGCACAGCGAGAGGAGCAATGATGTGTAACACTCCTCCCTACAACGGTAAGAAAGTGAGATGAAGGGATCCGTGGTAACGCCAGATCCCTTCTGGAGCAGGCAAAGATCATTAGGTCTATTAGTAGCCTGTTTTGGACAAAGTAAAGGGATGACAAATCCTAAAATCTGCTCTGTGCAGCTGTTTGTACAGCTTGTTGAAGAAAAAAAAATGATTTAGAATTAGTTTTTGGACTTTTGTGTGTGTGTGATGGAGAAAATTATCTGAAAAAAGAAGTCTCACCTCAGCCGTAGTACCATGTTCACAGCACCTTGAATGAACGGTGTGTCCTCATACGGTTCAACCTGCAGGAGAGAATGTCTGGTGATGAAGCAGTGTTCATTGGGAAATAAGATTTACAGAAGAGAAACACAAAGCATTCACTGCAGAGCACAAGGTTCTGACACCTGCAAGATGGACGTAGAGTCAGAATGAACCAGAAGCGAGTGTGGCATTGACTACACGGTCAGGCAATGTGGTGCATTTTAACTGAAAAATGTCTTCCATTTAATGCAGGCTGCAGGGGAAGTTGTAAGGGGAAAGAAAAGGGAAAATACATAAAGGGATATTGTGTGAGGGTGTATCATTGTTATCAATACCTTATTACAAATGGGCTCTTTATGTGGCAGGGAATGGATATTATGGATAAGAAATGACTGCTGAGTAGCTGTCAGAGTTAATTCCTGACTGGGACACAAGACTACACCTCAAACTGCTTTGGCTCATTTTCAAAATGACAATAGCCTTAGAAAATGGGTTACAATGGCAGTGAGTCTTCAGATGAGATACACCCAGCCACTGAGCCGGCACTGTCAGGCAGACAGCCATTTACTCTGAGTTATTACAGCTGAGAGCATCCCTCCAGGAGACCGGCATTCTCACATGTGTATACACACACACACACACACACACACAAACATACGCCCACCGACATGTGTGCGCAAACAGACACACACATGTAAAGCGCACGCGAGCTGAGATGTACACAAACACACACACACACACAATCACTGTGGCACCAAGGTCATTGAATCATGACAAATTAGTGCTGCTGCTGAATCCCTCACCTGGGGATGCTGAATAGACAAGCCTTCAATAGGGACATTGTTGGCATTCTCCTCATTCTAGGAGGAACAAAATGAGAGGCATAATTGTGCAAATGCTATTACATCCTTGGTAAATATCAAATCAGAGCTCATCCTATAAAGACAACAGAGGAGAGTCAATTCAAAACAATCAATGAGAGGCAATTTGCCGGCTTTGTCAGACTGTTTAAAACAGGTTCTTGGCTGTTTTGATGAAACTGCATTAAAATGTGTGCAGTGAAATAAACATTTATAATTGACTTCAGGATTCTTACACAAACATCTGCCGAAGTAGGCCAGTTAATTGCATTTCCAGAAATGCCGCTCAGCCAAGTTATCAAACTGTACAGCGGCAGGAAGGATACGGCCTGTTTGTCTGTTACAACTCGCCTCTTCACCAAATACAAATAGAGATTTAGAATTTGAATGTCACACGGCATTTCAAAATTGGTTTAGAGGAGGAATAGCTAACTTACATCTTTGGCCTCATCTTTGACCCTTCGTGACTGGAGGGAAAAAAATCAAAACACACATTTACATGTTCATGTTCAGGCATACTGTAGTAATAATGTTTTCTATTCTCATTTTATCAAAGGGCAAAACATCTGTAATGCACAAACTTCATACATTTTTCATATTTCATTCCCTACATGTACATTTCTCCACTGATTCATCTGTATGTGAAACATATTTGTGCAAAAACACAGTACAACTGCTGAAAAGAAACAAGCCTGAGATCAATAAAAGGAAACAGAAAACACATCTTTGTGAAAAGAAAAATACTACCGGCAACAATTTATATCTAAAATCATTACTGTTGGTAGAGCATTATTTATTGCATCATACATTAAAGCTGTGTATCTTTATCAAAGGGCTCTTTGATCATAGTTGTCAACTTCCTCCTGCCTCACATCCTTACAGCTATCTTCCAGCTCATTACAGCGACCTCATGACAGGCTCTCTCCGAGATAAGCCATCTGCTATCCAAAAAACTAACCGATCAGGGAGGGAAGGAGTGCACAGTGTCTGAGACAGAAGGGAAGTTGCATAACGGTTTGATCTATGGGTTAGACGCGGCATGCAACACCTTAATAACTCTAACTCTGAATTTCCATGCACGAGTCGTAGTTTTTATATAGAGACAGGTTAATCTAAATAAAGCATATTTTATAGTGTGTTGTAAAACCTTTACTAATAAACATAAATAGTAAATATGGAAAAAAACAAATACTGCTGAAGCTCGCCTTTGTTGAGTCTCACCTACCCTGCCCTGATTCACTGCTGCCTTGCCCTCCTCGCTGCCCTCGTCCAGCTCGTCGTCGCTCCACTCCCAGTCTCCATCCTCTGTCTTGTGCAAGTGGCCGCTGGAGCCTGGGACTCTCCTCACCTGGACCATCACAACACACGGCCGGTGTATTTATCGTTAGTGAAATCATTTGTAAGTATTCTATTGCAAATGCACAGTGACACATTAAAGGAAAAACCAACATGAAGCGTCCTCATGTGCCTCTAGAAGGAAAAATGGTCCTTGACACTGATTCTCCAAATCTCTGGAAATCTATTGGAGGGATGTCCACAAGATATCTCCTTATTTGATGTTTTGATCATGGCAATCGAAGGTATGTCAAATATATGGGTCCAAAATCTCCCATAAGGGCTCAACTAAGTTCAGATCTGGAGAGTATGAATGCCACACCATTAGATTCACATTATTGTCCTACTCATGACACCATTTAGTGACCCCTTGTGCCCTATGGATGGGGGTCATTCTGGATAGAAATGTTTCATCATAGGATAAAGCTGATCACTCAGAACAACTTTGTATTGATTTGTGACCATTCCTTCTTAGTGGACAAGTGAAGCCAAACCATGCCAACAAAATAGCCCCAAAGCATAACAGGGCCTCCAGATCCCCCTCACTATAAGGTGCAAGGGTTCAGGTTTTTCCTTTAATTCATCACCCAATTTTCTTGTAAAAGCATTGTGCTTTACCCATGATTCCATTAGGTTTTACAGTTTTATAGCTCAAAGTTGTTCAAGTACTATACTCAGGGGATTTACCTATCCTGACTGTATATTTGTGACATAAAAAGATTAAAAGAGCTTGTACAAGGCTCCAGACTGTGACTATTTTAATTGCACATTCAAGAAACATTTTCATTGGTTGCACCGGTGCACCTGACATTTAGAAGGTCTGTCTGTGTCTCTGGACAGCCTGCCCAGGTAGCTAATCAATGGTCATCTCAACTTAAATGTGACATTAGAACACCTTATTTCAATCTTTGTGAGGTCTAGTGGCTTCTCTGTGCACAGCCTAACAGCAGCCATGTTTTCACAAGTTACTGAAACATTAGAAAGTTGTACCATCTACCAACAATCTGCATGTGAGGCGTTTGGGGATATCTCTCAGTCTCCCACTCTAAACTGCACGAGTCTCTGCATGCAGATCGGTCACGCTGTGCCACCCACCACTGCAAATAGATACTCAACCAGTGGGAGATATGTGAGATATTATGAAACTCCCAACTTTATGCATTGCATCTTTTGCAAAGAGTGCAGCCAAAGCATGGCGAGGAGAAGTTGCTGTCGGAGCATCAGTGCTCTGAATAGAAAAGGCCTCTCAGAACCTCATCCTGTGCCGTGACCGATGCAGAGTAGCGCCACCTCTCTGCAGCACCAGACAGCAGCAAAACAGTCACAAATTATATGTAAGTTTAGCCCTGCTCATTACAAATCAAGGAAGAGCTACCTTTTACTAACTTCAATTTCAAGATCATTCCTATGAAAAAGAATGGAATAAATATACAAAACATGTATCTGCACCTTCCACATTCCTAATAACAATCTGTTACAGAATGTGTTGAGAAATTATCCATGCAAAAAGATAAAATAAAATGCTTTAATGTAGCTAAAGTATGTGCTGTTGCACATAAATGAAAAGGTTGGGCACACCAGTGCAACCAATGTTATAAAGTTAGTCTGGAGTCCACTTGCACAAATCCACATTATTGTCATTTAGCCTGCTGAATGTATCTGGTATAGAGATAATATTACAGCCTAAAAGATAAAGTGTTATCTTTTTATAGCAATCTACTGTTAAAACTGAAAATTTTATATATGAAGAGTTCATTTGCAAAAACAGATAACTCCATCTTCACAAACCTTCAGAAAACCCACTTTTCCATCGTCTACCTGAGACAATATCAATCAAACTTCAGTTATCTCTGTTGTTGTCATTTCTACCAAGTCAAATCCACTCAGCTTCAGTTTGAGTGATATTATTTCAAGCAAACAAAAAAAAAAAATACATTTCTGAAAATCTACAAAAATGGAGTTTTCTGTTTTTGCAAATGAACTCTTCACATATTCATGACAAAAAATATGTAATACTCACATCAAAAATGCCTTGTTGTAACATGAAATCTTCCCCATTATAACCAGAAATACACGACTCACAAAAACCGCTCAGCACTCCGTTAGAAACCCATTAGTTGGTAGTTATTAATTCTATCAGTGTAGTAGGCGCAGTGTGGGTACAGCACAATGAGAAAATGAGAAAACTCCAAAATATCTAATCCAATAGACTGAGTTAATGTATTCATTTTAACAAAGCAGATACAACAAGTATGGCAGAGTCACTAGTAAAGCCTTTAATTTGTTGCAGCTCCGCAGTCAAGAAAAAAAAAGCGTGTAAGACAAGCAACACGTGACTAGTCTAGCAATGCAAGATATGATACGAGATAAGATATGAGAGCACCACAGTGTTACAGAAGAGACAGCACACAAAACTGTAAGCCACTAGCAGCAGGGTCATATAAATTCCCCAGCTCTAGACAAGGTCAAAGTTAAAGAAGCACTACCCTTCTGGTGGTGTCGGGTTTACTTTCCAAACCTGACATAGAACCAAGGCTCCCCCAGTTCTGCTCGGGGTCCTTGAGCAAAACAGACACAGATCAATGCACTCAGCAGCCATACATGATCTCCCAGCAGACATTCACTAACATAAAAGAAGAAAAAAAAAAACGGCTGACATGCAGCTTGCAAAATCATCCCACTATGAATGTAAGGAAATATATCTGACTTAAATAACACTGTAAGATTAGAACGTGTTGGAACTGATATCAGAATTTTCAGAGGATCAAACTGCAGCATATTCTGCTACAATGACCTGTTTTTTTTTTGTTTTTTTTAAACGAGGCTTCAAAAAGCATCCATGCAGAACTCAATCTGTATTCCATCATCATTTGTGCACCAGACCGTGCATTTTAACTCAATATCAATCCTTTTCTATTTTGCCACTTTCTATTATGTAACAAATCAATGATTCAAGCCCACATTGTTGTAAGCCACTAATGTCTAATCTTTAAACAATAAAGCCTGCAATGATCTCATTTGAAAGCTCTATTGTGGGTGTCAGGGTGCCCTCTGCTGGATGTTCAACTCACATGTACCTACATTTATAATGTATGCCTGAATGTGACATTACTTCTACATTTATATTTCAGATATGACAAAAGCTGGTTTGTCTGGTCCGTAACAGGCAATGTCCTCTATTCCCCACTTCCTCCTGGTTTTAGGAGCTCATTACTGAGTTTCTTCCTCATTTATTAGATGAAGTATTCATGTAAAATTACGTTGATGGTGACAGAATCTGCCATCTCCTTCTCATTCACTGGAGTATGTTACAGTCAGGTCCCTTTTTAAAGCCCATTTCAGTACTGGCTGTTTTGCTTTAAACCTCTTACTTACATCCCATCGCTATTTGGTTTCTGTGAGTAGAATCGCATGTGTTTGACATAACTACAAAATACCACGCGGGACAAAAACAACAGAAAGAGAACACCAGGGAACATAGCTGCAAAAGGTCAGAGGGAAAATTCTGAAGATCAAACAGGTCAAGAGATTTAAGGTGGTGGCGCGCAGACAGGAGGTGAACTAGGACGTTTACGAGTAACTAGGCAGGATCTTAAGAGAACAAGGCCATTGTAGTCTCCGTATAAAGAGGTCACAATATCCTGGGACAACAGTGTTTCGACAGTATTGCTTGTGTCTGCAAGCTTTGGGAAATGTTGCTGAGTTTCTAATGTAGACGACTCTGTAGGTCAAATCAGCACAAAATGACAAGGACACCGGCTCTGCGGCACAAACGTTTCCTTCACCAGAGCTATCAAGTGAATCTGACATTACCTGGACTGCATGTACCCTGCATGCTGTCTATGTTACACTGCCAACAAGACTCCTCACATAAAAACAGAGTGTATTTATTACAGTAAGAATTCAATAATCTTGAATTTCCATTCTGGGATCAAATTGCTCCAACGCACCTCGAGTCCACTGTGTAAAAGTACATTCAGTTGTTTTAATCTGCTATTTATCATTGGCAAAGGCCTTCCTGTGCAAATTCTTAATACTGTAGCTCATTTTAGATAATAATTTGTTTATCAGGGACTGTAAATACAGTCTTAATTGCAAATCAGCAGTGGTGATGCACTGTATTGGAAAGCCTAATAGACTGTAGGACTCTCGTAAATCTATTTAGAAGTTAAGTACCTTTTCATGCTTGTTGTGACTGTTACATGCCTGTAGCTCCCACATGAAGCATCAACAAACCTCAACAACATCATGCCACTCCCCCATAGTTTCCTCCGTCTCTATTGACACCCTGCCCTGTGCGTGCGTAATTATAACGTCATACACAGTAATGGCCATGCTATGTGCTATGTCCTCCATTTACTCCCAACCATGTCAGTGAATTTCCACCCCTCCACTCAGCCACTCTGCCTTCTGGCAATGGCCCTCTGTTCCCACTTCTGTCCTGGCCATCCAGGCGGAGTGTTATGTGAAGCCAATATCAGCTGTGCCTGAAAACTGCACTTCCTCCCAGTAAACTGTGACCAACAGAGCAAGCGAACTGAACAATAGTGTGCTGCCTTTCTGTTACCTAATGTTAACAATTCATTTAATCCTGTTTGTCCTTAGTGAGACACATGCAGAGAGCTGCACTGGGAGCCAATGACACAATCCTCAGTACATCTGCATCGCTTGACTCTTACATGGCAGTGGCCCATATTTTTACATAATCTACACAACAGGGCATAAAGTGTTTGAGGTGCAGAAGAAAGTCAGAGTGCATAGCTTGTGTTGACTGTAAATGAGACACTCCGATGGACAGAGGGACTTCAGTCAATCCCTGCACTCTGCCATAATTTGTTCATGTTTAGTCAATAACCGAGTTATTTTACAGGGAATGTTTACGTAAACATACCTTCTTCGCTCTCTGGGAAATCTTTGGTGCACGACACAAAAGCTTTTCGACCAGATATTCTTTGTTCTGCAAGAGAAATAAAATGAATCACAATATATTCAATATTCAGAGTGAGCTGATTATGTAAAGCAGCCAAAACGTAATAATGAGTCACAAAAATCTCAAGTAGCATTTTGCTAAACTTTGAGCCCTCAGATATCAGTTGGGTTGGTGGAAATGAAGAGGATGGTTTGAGAGAGTAACTGGGTTCTTTTGAAAGGTTTAAACACTAGTGATTAGCCCAGGTAAAGTAGTAACAGTGAGATGAGGATGCACTACTTGCAAGTGTCACAAAATTAAATTAATACAGTTGGCATTACAACTTATTTTGCAATGCGAAAGCTGCATTTAAAATCGCATATGTTTTCTTTTACTTTAAGTACGTTTACAGCACTGCCCTTACAGAGTATGTACTGTTGCCTGCAGTATCCAAACAACTGGCAGTTACTATTCGTAATAATGTTGTGCGCTAAGTTTTGACTGAGTCCGACATATATCTGTTGCACTTTGAAATTCAAAACGAACTGACACGTGTCTGTGAGTCACTGTGACGTATATGATGTGTCTTCCGCAGCAGGGATTGCGGGTCGGAATGGAAAAAATTTGAAAAAGATGCTCAATTGCATACTGAAAAATGCTTGTATAGGTATTGGAATCTATCTTGTACAGTTCTACACTGTCAGCTGTTATTCCCAAAAATGCAGCTAAGATTCCATACATCAGCACAAGACATAACAAATTATTTCTTTCTCGTCATTACATAATTAATAGTATATAAGGATTACGATTGTGTCCTTGTGGCCTTTTTTGTTCTGTTTGATGTATACAAGTGCACATAACCATCATAAACTCACAAAAAGCATTCAGTATATACACAGCTGAGTTATTGTTGGAGTTGGCATGAAGCCCTAAGCATAACATTAATAACAAAACCAAACAAAGATGGTGAGCCAAATATTTGAGATGAAACAAATACCTTGGCCTTTTGGAAGAATTTACACTTCAAAAGCTCTGCGGCTGTAGGCCTAGAGATAAAACAAAAGAAAGTACCATTGTTGAAAACATATCAGAACACAGCGCTCGCTGAATGTTAATCAGGATCAGGTCCTTTTTATTGACCACAAATTGCATCAGCTCGCTTCACTGGAATATTTGGGTGAAATACGAAACGCGGTGCTAACCTTTTGGCAGGATCCTTCTGAAGGCACATAGTTATTAGTTTTCTAAATGATTTGCCATATTTTTTTAACATTTCCTTGTCCTCCACACCAGTCTCTAGAGTGGGTGGATCATTCTGTAGAGTAAGCATTAAAACCTGAAAAGACAAGAAAAACAGTCAAAACCGCCCACGCAGTTCAGCAGCAACACAAATACGCAAGTAGATGAGGAAAAGAAACTGAAAGCAGGAAACTGTGGAAACGCTGTGGAAAGACACATCAAGCAGCCTGTAGATTAAAGGTTCCCTCTTTATTAGCTGTTCGGTTTTCCAATTACAGCAAAAGCAGCACATTAAAATATGCTCTCTCCACGTTGTTTTTCTTGCTAATGATGAAACTTCGCAGACATAACTTGGTTTACGAGATAGAGTTTATAGCCACAGTTTTCTTCCTTTCTTTGCCAAAGCCAGTGTGTGTTACAAGAGGAGGACATCACACTGATTAAATTACACCAAATGATACATCCACAACACTTACCTTCATGGGAGGGTAGCGGTGATAGGGTGCAGAGCCTGTTGCTAACTCTATGGCTGTGATTCCAAAACTCCATATATCTGCTTTGAAATCATAGCCTCGAACCTGTGGATAGAAAATCACAGCACTTTGTAATAACAGTGTCTTATGCCTGCATCTCAGGGATTATATGTTGATGCAATACTGTTGTAGTAAACATGCCAAGAAGACAGATCAACTAATAACAGCATTACATTGAGAAATTCATTCACACCAAGTAAAGACAACCTCAGGCAAATACATTTCCTGATACACCGAATGAAATATGCAGTGTTTCCAGCATTTGTCTCTGTATGGACGGAGGCAGACTCACCTGCTCCATCACCTCTGGCGCCATCCAGCACGGCGTGCCGACAAAGGTCTTTCGAACTTTGTTTCTAGTCATGTCGCCACCTGTGGCTAGAAATGCACTTACTCCAAAATCTGTAAAAAATAAAGAAACAAACAAATCATCCTTCATACACAGCAGGAAAAAAAATTGATTGGTTGAAGGGGTTTGTTTAATGGTTTTAGCAAAAACAAAAACACTGACAACGTGCAGCAATTTGCTCTTTTAAAATTCTGTGTCACATCGCCTTTGTGACCGCTCCGGGGCGGATCATGAATATTGAACAGCAGACAACAAAGAAACCTGAAAACACCATTAATTGTTCCCTTCAATTTTCATTTTCATTTGTTTACTGTGTCACAATTACAGTTTTACTTGTCAGAGGCTGTTTGCCACTGATTGCTTCTAACGTGAGTAGATCACAACGGCCTCTGCTATCAGCTGGTGATTGATTAACACTAATCAAAACATCCATCCATTATCTATACAC